CCAGTGTGGGGCTTGAACTCACAAACTGTGAGATCATGACCTAAGCCAAAACCAAGAGTTGGATGCTTAATCGACTGAGCCACCCAGGCGTCAGGGACATTGTGTATTTCTGTTTGTTAAACCTGGCAGCTTTATTTTAGGGTCACTGAAAGAAAAGCTTTTTTTTTTTTTTTTTTAAAGTTTTATTTATTTATTTTGAGAGAAAGAGTGTGAGTTGGGGAGGGGAGAGAGGGGGAGAGAGAGAATCCCAAGCAGGCTCTGTGCTGACAGCTGCATCTCATGAACCATGAGATCATGACCTGAGCTGAAATCAAGAGTCTGGTGCTTAACCGAACGAATGAGCCACCCAGGCGCCCCAAGGAAAGCTTTTTAAGCCAAAATTCCGATGGATTTTAAAGTACTTGTTTGGGTATGGCACTTAATTAGTCTACAGATCTAGAAATAGTTGTGGCATGTGTGTGACAGGGAGCTGGAACTGTATGGACAACTAAAAAAAGAAATACCACTGTCATAACAAATGATTTATTAATGCTCATGTCGGGAGAACCACAACCAAATTGATTATGGAAGAATTACTGGTTAAACCCTTGTTTTCCTCAAGAGCCTTAAAGTTTGTTACGGCAAAACTTGCATTTCTGGACTGGATTGGAATTAAGGTCATTCATTAAAAGAATTTACCATTAAAAAGGGAAATGCAGAGTTTAGAGAAAAGTATCTGGGACAGAAGCTTAGGTACTTATATTTTCAATGTGGGAAAACCTAGAATTTGGAGAAAGCAAGCCTATTGTGAGTACAAAGAGGAAACAAAGGGAGGCTCAGATACCTGAGCTTTCTTGGCAGTTTTCCATGGAAGGAGGCAGAGAGCAGCATACCATAGGGGCATCTGTGTGGCTTTACTTAGATACCTAAAGATGCATCAGTACCTGGGCCTGATAAGATCTTCAGCTCAGACTAAGTTTTTCCATCCTCGTTAAAAAGAGATTTCGCTACATTTTATGTATTAGAACCTGTTTAAAGAGTGCACTTTATTTTTGTTTATTTTTTGAAGGAAGCCCTGTACCCAACATGGGCCTTGAACTCATGACCCTGAGATCAAGAGTTGCATGTTACACTGACTGAGCCAGCCAGGTGCTCCATGATTTGGTGATTTTAAAACTCATGCCGAGCACATGCAAGGTAGCTTTAGCTGCTAAATAAATCATTAAATTGCAGTAGTCAGACAGGAACCGAATCTTTGAATGCCTTTATGGAAGTACTTGCTGTTAATGGGAGATTTGGACTTCTGTGTTTTAGAAAGGGTGGGTTTGGGAGAAATCACCTTACTTTATTACACTGAGAAAGCCTCAGGGGAAAATCTGAAGTGATAACAAGAAGCCTCCATTGGAGTAGGATGACGTAGAAATTTTAAAAGCACGGGGCATAGAGAAATGATAGCATCAAGGGGACGGTGGGCAGTTGGCTTGGAACAAATAGTAAGTATAGTAAAATGGGTTTAGGGTCTTTTGCAGGCCCTTTTTGACCAGATGCCCTCTTTCTGGCAAGCAGTAAACACCAGCAGGTGTTTTCACAAATTTTGCTCGCTGTGCAAATTCATTTACGAAAACTTGACACTCCTCTAGTATCCATTGGGAGACTTTTTTTTTTTTTTTTTTTTTTTTTTTTTTTTTTTTTTTTGCTTCCCCATTACTTTCAAGGGGAAAGGCCCTATTTGTTGCAGAATTGGTTTTATTTATGCAAAGTTAGAGAGTGTCTGGGGCAGCATGTCCCCCCTTTGCTTTAGCAAGAACCAAAGACAAGGGAGCCCTGCGCCTGCTTCATGTTGTGAATCTGCTCTACGGTGTTCGCTCAAAAGAGGGGGGTCTCTGGGTCAACATCCAGATCTTACCTTGTGGAATCATACACTTCAGTTCCATGACTGATAGTGACTGGTGGTATGTACACTGTAGGTGTCCCCCCCACCCTTCGTTTGTGTGGGAATGTTGACTGATTACAAGGGATTAGGAGAAAACAGGTTTAGAAGTAAAGGGATTAGAAGTAGGTGTCCAAGAACTTTCTAACTTCTCAAGAATTGAAACCCGTTCTTTCGGGCTTCTGTTACAAAGCCTCAAATGGAGGGCTGACATGTGGTAGGAGCATCCTGTATTGAGAAGTGGGCAGCACCGATCATCTGGCGTAGCCCTCCCGTCAGTGCTGGCCAGGAGTGGGTCTCGTGCCGCTGGTAGTGGACGGGACCTGACACTGTCCAGTGCAACATTAATTACGGTTTTGCATGTGTGTCTCAAAGGCAGGAAACTCCTCTACTTTCTGGGTATCTAGCATTGGTGTTCATGGTTGCTCTTTCAGAATCCCTGTTTTCCATTTCTCCACAGAAATGCAGGGCTATTTAAAGGAAGTTTGCTTTAAGAAGTTTTGCAATAATTGCGGGGCTTTAATTGTCAGATAAAGACATAAAGGAGGGAGCATTTAAGTGGTCTGTGGCCAGCAGCTGTATTTAAAAATATTTTATTTTTTTGAAAAGGTAATACACACGGTACAAAATTCAAAAAGACACAAAAGGGGATACAGTGAAAAGTCCCAATCCTGTACCCATGTACCCTGTCACCCTCCCCACAAACCACTGTTGTTTCTAAGAATTTACCCTACAGGTATGATCCATAGATATAATGTGAAATAACATACAAGAATATTCATTACAGCATTACTTATAAATAGCAAGAGATAGGAAACAATGGAAACATCTGTCAATAGGGGACTGATTACAAATTATGATTGATCCATTCAGTGGAATAGCATACAATTACAATATAGAACGAGACAACTCTTTATGTGAAAATACGGATTAAGTGAAAAAAGCAAAGTGCAGAACAGCATGCATAGAGTGGTCTTTGTGTTTTGATACAAAGAAATCCGTGTATGTGCATGAAGTTTTTCTGGAAGGGTGAGCAGGAAGGCGAGGGTTGAGAGGAGGCACAGCGCCAGCAGGTGTACTGAAGAGTGGTAAGAAGTTCTCTGAACCGTGGGGCGTAAGGAGAGTGGCGAGGGTGAGGTCAGCAGATACCCAGCTGTCTTCCCCCTTTCTTTAGATAAATAGCAGCATATATTACACTTTGTTATATGACCTTCTTTCCCCCCTTCGTCTGGTTTGGATTTCTTATCAAGACATTTAGAGCCACTTTTTTTTTTTCCCTCCTTTTTTAGGCCTCCGTTTCAACTAATAGTTTCTAATCTTTTACTGTTACAAGTAATGCTATAATAAATAACCTCTGACGTGTGTCGTTTCACATTTGGTGAGAAATATCTGAAGGTTAAATTCCTAGAAGATTCAAAGACTAAGAGCTTTTATAAGTTTGAAAGACATTGCCATATTATCCTTTTCAGAAGCTCTATCAGTTTCTGTCCCTGTTAGCTGTGTATGTGAGTGCCTCTTTCATCAGATGCTTGCCGACTAGGAGTCTTAAACGTTTTGATCCTTGCCAATCTGACGATTTTTAAAAAGTATCTCAGTGTGGTTTTAATTCACATTTCTTTTATTACGAAAGAAGGTCAGAATATTTTCACATGTGTAAGAACTATATAGTTTTGTTGGCTGAAAACATCTTAGCTAGTAGAGTGACCTAGGGCAAATTGTTTAAACTCTTGTGTGTCTCAATTTCCTCAGCTGTAAGTTGGGAATAAAAATAGTCAGTAGGATTGTTGGATGATTAAATGAAATTTGTGTCCAGCACTCAACACAGTGCCTGGCACATAACAGGCATTCGGAAGTTATTATGGGATGGCTGACAGAGCAACCGCTAGGACAGGACAGATTAAGAAAATGACATTCGTCCCTTTGTCTTCAGGCGCATGGAGTCTCGTTCATTTACATTGCCTTTCATCAGACAAATGCAAAGGCAGAGCTTTCCTTGTCTCAGAAGAAGAAGGAACCTTTTCCATTGGATCCCATTCCTAGGCTATTGGTAGAGTTGGCAAGAGGGTAGGCACAGCCTCATGTCTAATAATTAGATTTAGCCAACATGGTAAAGAAATTTGGTTTAATATGAAATAAAAACAAAAACAGAAAAGCCCAGATGTACATCTTTTTATTCCACAATGGTTCTAAACTCCTGGCTGGCCAAGGTTGGAGTGGGTCTCTACTTGTAAACTGAGAGGGATACCAGCCATCCCATTTTTGAAAGAAAGATGGCAGGGGCATCTGAGAATACAGAAACAACATAGGAAATCTGGCTTCCCCTAAATAAGACTACACTGTATCTCACAAGCTAGAAAATAGGCCCCTTTATTTTTAGTACCTCAAAACTGGCATCCACAAAAGGAGAACCCAGGAGAGATTTGTTTCCTGTAAGAAGCAGTATGTATTTAATACAGGTCTTCGGAGATGGGCACCCTGTCCTGTGGCAGCCTTTGCTGGGTGCACGTGAATTATCATGGGTAGATGGTGAGTGTTTACCCGAAGTTACTGAACGTTTTCTTTAGACTTGTTGAAAGCCTTGGCTCCCCCTTTCTTAACAACTCCCCGTATTTTTCATATTGCCCTCTTGCTGCTTTCTTAGGCTTCTTGTTCCCCTTCACTTGTGTCTCTACACTCAGCAAGCTGGTATCAGTCTTGCTCTTCCGAGATGAGCTGAGCTGATCTGCTCCTCCCTGGGGCCACAGAACTGCTATTGGATGGAGCTG